TCAACCACAGTCACTGTACAACATGCTAGGTATGGATACTGGGTCAGGTAAAATGTGTAAATTATCAACCACAGTCACTGTACAACATGCTAGGTATGGATACTGGGTCAGGTAAAATGTGTAAATTATCAACCACAGTCACTGTACAACATGCTGAAATAGAGTCCGTGTTAATGATATACAAGTTGTGTCAAGGAAGCAAAGACTGTGTCAATGATATAAAAGTTGTGTCAATGAAATAAAGTCCGTGTTAATGATATACAAGTTGTGTCAAGGAAGCAAAGACTGTGTCAATGATATATAACTTGTGTCAATGAAATAAAGTCCGTGTTAATGATATAAAGTAGCGTGAATGAAATAAAGGTTATGTCAATGCAAAAGTTGTGTCAAGGAAAGAACGGTTGTGTGAACGATATAATTGTTGTGACATGAAGGTTATTTTAAAGAAATACAAAATCGTGTTTATGAAACATAGTATTAATTTATTTTACCCGTGTTTAAGAGCTATATAATATTCAGTTTCTTATATACAGCACTATATTACAATATAGCCTAACAGTAAAAAAATACAACTTGTAAAACGAAACCGGCATTTCGTATTGACAAATGAACTAACAGTAAAACGACCATACAGTACAGTGACTGGGGTTAATAAAGGTCAGGTAAAATGGATAAACAATATTATTACCTAGCATGTTGTACAGTGATTGTGGTTGATAATGGTCAGGTAAAATGGATAAACAGTATCCATACCTAGCATGTTGTACAGTGACTGTGGTTGATGATGGTCAGGTAAAATGGATAAACAGTATCCATACCTAGCATGTTGTACAGTGACTGTGGTTGATAATGGTCAGGTAAAATGGATAAACAGTATCCATACTTATTGACACAGTCTTTGCTTCCTTGACACAACTTCTATATCATTAACACGGACTTTATTTTATTTACACAACTTTTTATATCATTGGCACAGTCCTTTCTTCTTTGACACAACTTCTATATCATTGACACAGACTATTTCATTGACAATTATTACTTCCTTGACACAACTTTTATATCATTATATAGTATCATTGACACGGACTTTACTTCCGTGACACAATCTTTATATCATTAACACGGTCTTTATTTCAAAAGAAAGACATACTGTTTTCAAGAATTCTATCAATATGAAATTAGATGGGGGTGGGGTCCCCCTTCACTCATGTCCTCCTCTATCAATGTGTCAAGTTGGGCTGATTTGGTAGTTTTTCCGAAATTAGATATGAAATTAGGAGGAGAAACAACCCCTCATGACATTCCTCATGTCATCCTGTGTCAAGTTTGGTGCTGATTGATCAAAAGTTCCCCGGTGGGACAGCGGTAAGTCTTCGGATTTACAACGCTAAAATCAGGGGTTCGATTACCCTCGGCGGACACAGCAGACAGGTGATTGATCAAGAAATGTGGAAACGTATAAGGAACAGATACACACACACATATTGATGTTTATTTATATAGATTACCAGTGTGTTGATACCACTAATCAACATTTACCTTAGGGTGTTAGCGGCGTTGAAGACGATCTCGTATTCTTCAGGAGCCAACTGAGCAGCTCGAAGGTAAGTTTCGGCGGCTTCATTGTGCCGTTCTGATTCTGATAAAAACTGACCTGAAAAAATAAAAAGCATTACAAATTACTACAGAAAACGAGGATAATAAGTCAATACCTAATATGGAAACACAAAAGAACTATATCAAAACAAATAAAAAAGAAACGATTCTTATTATTACCGTTTCGGTGAAAATAAGGCAATACATCCTCTGGTATAATGTTAAATTAATGTGCCTTTTGTCTTCATCCGTTTCTAAGTCGAAGCTTATTTTTAATCTTTAAGAAACCACTATAATTTATAATTTGAGTTCTATACTTACCGTAATGCTGGTAGACACTGGAGTCATTAGGAGCGATAGACATTGCTTTAAGAAACCACTGCTCCGCTTCTACAGGTCGGTGCTGCAAGAAAGGATATTTTCACGGGTTGGTAATACATCTAAATAGGGTTTTTTTTCGGTTGGTAATACATCTAAATAGGTTTTTTTTCGATTGGTAATACATCTAAATAGGTTTTTTTCGGTTGGTAATACATCTAAATAGGTTTTTTTCGGTTGGTAATACATCTAAATAGGTTTTTTTTCGGTTGGTAATACATCTAAATAGGGTATTTTTCGGTTGGTAATACATCTAAATAGGGTTTTTTTCGGTTGGTAATACATCTAAATAGGGTTTTTTTTCGATTGGTAATACATCTAAATAGGGTTTTTTTTTCGATTGGTAATATATCTAAATAGGGGTTTTTTTTTGGTTGCTAATATATCCATGAATGTGGGGTGTTTCGGTTGGTTCTTTTTTAACGAATTGTGCTTAGTTTGCGTTTTGAAATAAATGCACACAAATTATTATTTGGAGCTGATATATATTTGAATTTTGCTATCACAACCACCACTTCACTTTTCGATAGGTTATTTACAGTTGGTATATGTCAGAATTTTGTTATTACAACCACCACTTCACTTTTCGAAAGGTTATTTATAGCTGGTGGTATATATCAGAATTTTGTTATTACAACCACCACTTCACTTTTCGAAAGGTTATTTACAGCTGGTACATATCAGAATTTTGTTATTACATCCACCACTTCATTTTTCGAAAGGTTATTTACAGCTTTATAGTACGTAAAAATCCAAGCGATGTTGAAACCCATAACTTTACTGCATTACACATGGTCCTGCTGAAACTGAAACACAACTTTTAAACTACATGAAATTTCCTACTCTTGTTCAGATTATTCTGGCTTACGAAAAGAACGGCTTACCCATTTCGATAATAGTTTCGCGTATGTAAGATGCGCAGGAACGTGATCTGGTTTGACCCGCAAGGCCTCTTTGTACCACTGTTCGGCGTCGACGAACTTTCCCAGTTTGAAGAAGGCTTCGCCTACGAACAAATATACGTTTATACAGGTAAACAGTTTTAAGTAATACTTGTTGTTAAAGCGAAAAACATTCGTTCTTTGACTTCCAGGCAAAATGTTGCTCTACATTATTTATGTTTTTCAGGCAATATGGAGTTCTCTTTGTTAACTAAGAAAGAAAAAAACGTAATTATACTATGTTCCATGTTTCGTGAAAGAGTATACAGTGATATGATGGGTTTGATTCGATAATTTTGCACCAGTTACAGTGACGACAAAATCGTTTCTGTCGAGATGGCGCTGTTAATTAACCTCCCTAAGCACAACCTGCCTTATTTTCTAATAACATTTATGACATAAAACAATCTATATAAATATATAAATTTTATTACCACCACTCGTGGCTTAAGAACAGAAAACAAGAGAAATACATTACAAGATGATGAGAGAAAAAAAATAATGAAGATTCTTTAAGTACATAAGCTAAAGTGGTGTTAATATCTTGGTGTAATAGTCAAATTATAAAATAGCAAAATATATAAGGTAGCGCTATCCTTTGTGTGTTTTTTATATTAGTCTTAATGAAGAAAACTAGATTTAGCCGAGCTTTGAGGATATTAAGTACATTAGATATAGTGGCGCCATCTGTTGTGTGTTTCACATATTAGTCTTAATAAAGAATGCTGCAACAAGCCCAGTGACTTCAGGATATTAAGTATAATATGAAGACACCATCCTTTCAGTTTTTCATATTAGTCTTAACAATTGCTTGACAATCTGCAGCAGTAGTGTAGCGCAAAATTTTACAGTGCCGGAGCCCTGCCAAAATGTATCCTATGTATGATGTCACCATCAGGGTAAAGACCCCCATATTCATAACCTCATTTTTATTTTTGTTAGTCGATTTTAAATTACGAAAATATATAGTTATTACTAATTACTTGAGGCTATTTACATAAGTAATACATTGAAAACGCATATATTACCTACAGAAAACACGCAACCCAACTTCCTTTACGCTAAGCAGCATGGGGAAAAAATAGCAACAGCTGGAAACCATATATATATATATATATATATATATATATATAATACTTCTAGTCTCTTACAACTTCAATATAAACAACAACATTCTGTAAACAATATTCACAACGTTGACTTTGATAATGCTTTGTACACCTCCTGTACTGACAACACGAATGAACTTCAAAAAGCGATCTTAGTTGTATATTATATAAATAATAAGTCTTTTAAAATGTGTATATTTTTAAACACGTAATATAGTTGTAAAATGTATTTTATTACGTTTTTAATACCATATTCGTTTGATTGATAAACCTCGTGACGTGTGACAAACACTTTACCATTTTACCGCTCTGGCACCTGCTTTTGAGCCGAGTGGTCGCATGGTGCCTAACATTAACTCCAGAGGGAGGGTGACAAAGAGCGTATTGAGTGGTAGGAAAGAGCTCTAATAAACAGTCGGAGTGTTCTCTGACACTCTGAGAATTTCGTTATGAAAGACAGTTTCAGGTGTAATCTGAGTAATTTATTTTCTATATGCATATTTTAGTCTTTTAAATGTCGGGACTCCGGCAGCACTACACCTTTGATGTGAAGTACATTAGATAACGTGGCGCCGGTCTTCACGAACAAAAAATGTAATCAGTTTAATATCTTGACGTTCTGAGGTACATTATACGAGGTATTTCCATTCTTTGTTTTATATTAATGTTCATGAAATATATATATATATATATACACATATAAAATCAATTTTACTGATACGATTCTATTGGATTTAGGCACCCAAATCAGAATTGGACAAACGTGCGTTTTAAAAACAACTGATCATTAATTTGCAGTGTACCAACTTGTAGCGCCACCTACTTGTCGATAGCCAATATAATAATCATTCTACGAAAAAGAACATTTTCATTATAATACGGATAAATAGAATAAATAATTCAAATTTCCGAATCAATCGTTGGGGGTGTGAAATCAAAATCACTTTCCGGAGTAAATGTTGCACCTTCAGTCACTCAAATACGAAACACGGAAAAATTTTATTCCAATTCGCGAAACAACGACAGTCAATGAAAAGAAATTACAGAACCAAACAATGTTAAAACCGCTTGAGTCTTTTGAGCGTTGATTATTTTTATTTCTTATTTGAAAAATTTAACTTGAGAAAAACAGAATCAGTAATGTAAAGCAAGACTAGTATAATTACAGCAGTTAGCTTGAATAACCAAGTTGGAAAAAAAATAACGTAATGTATTTTGGTTTATAAAAGGAGGGGGAACATTTCAATAGAAATGGATATGCCACTGTCCAATATCTAAGCGGACGCATCCATGCTGTTTGGAAAGGTAACACCCGAAAAAGTATATCTACAACACAAGGCGACGTTTTTTTTTTGTTTTTTTTAATCGTTAAAAATCGCGTAACGTCGCAACACGCGTTAACAGCGAAAATAAGGTGACGAAAAATTTCAATGTACTTTCACTATTGAATATGATGTTTAACATACAGACCTTTAAGTTCGCAGCGCATATTTTAACTCTGGTTAAAAGTTGATCGTAAATCTGGTACAACAGAATACTCTCCATATGAGACTTACAATATTCGATATTTTAAATGCCGATGAGCGATTATAATATTGCGAAAGCGCCACCAGAATAATTTTTATACACAACATTAAGTTGAATATCTTATCAAAGAATAAATTATTATTTTAATAGAAAAAATGTGATCTTAATCTTGTGTTAATTTATTTTAGTATGGATCTTATTTATAATCAAACTACAGAGCCATATTAATGAACAATCTAACTAAGCTATAACTTAGGGTTCTCTAAAGGGTCAGCAAAAAAGTTTGCTGGTAGTGAATTACTATAATTGCTGTCCATAATTTATATTTTTCATTTTCTTATCCTTTCATGTTTCGAGTCACTGTCTATAAACAGACAGATAGACTCACAGCCAGCAAGCTCATGAAGTTTATCTCAAGTTCAGACAATAATTAATCAATAAATGATATTATATTTGGTTAAAATATAAAGTTGTTCTTTTAAAACAGTATACTCTCTGTGAATAAACATCTTGTGCTGTTGCTGTACTGTTTTTATCTAATGGTTAATCCGGCCCTGTGAAAAAACACAAACATATCCTTAACCTCTAGTCTTGTGAGCTTCCAGATTGACATTAACGAAATCCCAGATTTTCGCTCGAGTTCACGATACTGAACGAAAGGCTATATCTGCGCTATGTCCACCGTGGGGAAAGAACCCCGAATTACTGCGTTGTAAGCTCTCAGGATTAGCTGCGAGTTACCGGTGGAAATGTTAAATCGTAACATCGAACTTATTCAATAGAATTACAGCTGCTGACTTCTGAAACACAATTTAAAGAAAAGTATTCTTAACCGTACTTTTTTTGACAGTAATCAGTAAAAGTTACTGCACACAAATACCGTGTAGTTTTCCTCAAAGCCTGCTCTTCATGTTAATGTGTTTAAAAAAAACTGTAACAATTTAAATTTATCTCAGTAAAACATGCTTGAAAAGTGAAGTATTTATTAATATAAGAAAATAAAAGGTACAATGAAATACGAATTATTTGCTTCTCCTGTAAAATAAATTATTGTATCAGCTCAAGTTCTGTAAAACAGACTGTTGTATCAACTGAAAGTCCGTAAAACAAATTGTTGTATCAGTCCAAAGTCCGTAAAATAAATTATTGTATCAGCTCAAGTTCCGTAAAACAGACTGTTGTATCAACTAAAAGTCCGTGAAACAGATTGTTGTACAAAGTATGTAAAATAAATTATTGTATCAGCTCAAGTTCTGTAAAACAGACTGTTGTATCAGTCCAAAGTCCGTAAATTAATTAATGTACGAGCTCAAGTTCTGTAAAACAGATTGTTGTATCAGTTCAAAGTCCGTAAAATAAATTAATGTACGAGTTCAAGTTCTGTAAAACAGATTGTTGTATCAGTCCAAAGTCCGTTAAACAGATTGTTGTATCAGCTCAAAGTCCGTTAAACAGATTATTGTATCAGCTCAAAGTCCGTAAAACAAATTACTGTTTCAGCCTAACGTCCGTTAAACAGATTGTTGTATCAGCTCAAGTTCTGTAAAAAAAAAGGTTGTTGTATCTTTCCTGTTTCTGTAAAACAGACTATTTTGTCAGCTCTAAGTTTTGGAAAAGAATGTTCTATGTGTGTTGTCTGTCTGTCTGGATAGGTACTTGGTGGTTGTTCGCGACCTGGGAGGGTCAAGAATGTTCTGTGTGTGTTGTCTGTCTGGATAGGTACTTGGTGGTTGTTCGCGACCTGTGAGGGTCAAGAATGTTCTCTGTGTGTTGTCTGTCTGGATAGGTACTTGGTGGTTGTTCGCGACCTGGGAGGGTCAAGAATGTTCTGTGTGTGTTGTCTGTCTGGATAGGTTGTTCGCGACCTGGGAGGGTTAAACCTCGTCCTTTACTATTGAATATTAAACTTTACGTTTACGTTCTAGTTTAGTTTGGTTTGAATTTCGCTCAAAGTTAATAGAAGGTTATCTGCGCTATCCGTTCCTAATTTCGCAGTAATATACTAAAGGGAAGACAGAAAGTGCGAGCACGTTTGGTGACAGTGATTCGATTCCGAGATTCTCAGATTGCGAGTCGAGCGCTTTAATCACCAGGCCATGTCGGGTCTCTACGTTCTGTAAAACAGAACGTTCTGACAAGAATAAGTATAAATTTTAAATTATTTTTTTTTTGTAAAACTGTCACGTGAAACAGGTTTCCAGTAGTATCTGGTGAAAATGGTGCAAAATTTGTTTCGGAATATATCAAAAGACGATATTTTACACGTTCATATTTTGTGTTTGATTGTTTTATGGCAAAGCCACATTGGGAAATCTGCTGTGTTCACCGGAGGGAATCGAACCTCGGATCTTAGCGTTGCAAGTCCATAGACTTACCGCTGTCCCACAGGAGGACTACATTTTTTGGATGCAGTATTATCATAGATACAT